GCTATGAAGAAGGACCATTCCCCGAACCGTCGACTTATGATATATATTTGCACATGAAGCCCACAATGTTGTTGACGAACACGTTAAGTTGTTTTGTTTGTGCACCACTGCCAACGGAGCAGTATCACCAAATAATGACACGTGAACATGTACTCTGCTGTTGCGCTATGAACCCGGTCATGGTGTCTCTCTCTGCTTGTGTCTGTCTGTGCGTCTCCGTGTCTGTGTTTTGTCTCTCTCTCAAATTTAGTTCTACCTGATGACGATTGCTTGTGTTGCCATCGAAACGTCGTATTCTATTATTTAATTTATTTTCTTTCGACGTGACTTTACCGAAAGAACCAAAGGGTAATTCCTGCAGTCACGAAAGCTTCACATCAAGTATGTACACTATTGTTTTGATTGTTGTGCGACGAGAGCAAGGTACGGCCAGCAAAATAACAAGAAGTTATATTTTTTGTTAATTCGGTAAAAAAAACTCCATCAACATTTCAAAAGCCCCTACACAATGCGAGTAACGTTACGGAGCAGTCCTGAAAGAGCCGCATGCCGACCCCTGGACTAAAGCATTGCAGGACTGTGCTCTCTACGGCAGGGCGGGGTTAGAAAGTGCTGCCCTCTACCGTGCACCAGATGTCACTTGAAGGGATCTCACAAGGTGGCTCTGTGATGTCAACTTCCGCGGGCCGTCCACGGACACAGAAGTGACGGCACCGCAGGATCTCCGAATGGATTTGACCTCATCCCACGAGGGCGACGCCTCGACTGTGTCAAGCGGGAATAGAATCGGATAAACAGGACAGCCGATGGTTAGCAAAGCAGAAAATACCGAAACAGTTGGAGGATGTAACCATAATTATTGCTGTCGCCTGACGAGGCTGGTTGTAATTACCGTGGAATCGTCGCTCTAGAATTGTAAGTGTTGTGGGTGGATTACCCAACGCATCGATGTGCAGAACGAGTTACTAATTGCCACGTTTTGCTTACGTGACAAATCTGGCTAATTTGGTTGTGTCGGGTGGTGGCGGATTTAACGACACATTTATTATTCACGCGATCTAACCCCCCAAAAAACATCCATTATGGATAATCTTGGTCACGAAAGCTGAGTCGCTTGCTCGCGTGTTACCACACGGGGGCAGTGCCTCTCTGCAAGTGAGGCACACACGACGAGCGAAGCACACACACACAACGCTGCTCTCTGGCGCTGCTGCTACTGCTGCGGCTGCGTTGGAAGCGGTAACGGGGGTATCGAAGTGGTTATCGCGCACGGCAGCCGTGTACGGGAACCCGACTACCGTCCGCGGAGCAGCGATATTGCTTCGTCCGCCGACCCTCACTGACGATCGTGTACTTGCTGCAACTATTCAGGCCAATATCTCATCACCGTCCGGACCACTGGCCGCCCTGCGGTTTATGTATGTACTCTACAGGGACGCCTGTACTTACGAACAATTCGACTTACGAACTTTCAGAGATACGAACAAACCCTCTCCCGTGTGTTCAGTTGCCTGTTCGGACCGAGAGTCGTAAGATCGACCGCCGCGTAATAGATGGCGGTGGTGGCATCTACATCTGCAGAACGCGAAGAACCAGTGGCATCTACATCTGCAGAACGCGAAGAACCAGCGGCATCTACATCCCCAGGAGATTGTACAACTTGGAAAGCCATTCCCCGTGTTTAGTGTACATGCCGTACAACGTGTTTGGTATCAATTCTAGATTTGAAGCTTTCGTGACTGCACGGATTCATACTCTTAGGTTTTTTCGGTAAAGTCACGTAGGTAAAAATAAATATAAAAGTAATAGAAAAAATTATGGAAATAAAATTATAAATCACGACGTTTCGGAGGCAACACAAGTCTCTGTCATCAGGTGGGACCGTCACAGCTAAATTTACTGTATCGACAGGAGTAAAGTTGGACTTACGAACAAATCGACTTACAAACAGACCTCTGGAACCTAACTCGTTCATAAGTAGAGGAGTCCCTGTATGTTGACCTTTTTTCGCACCGTACGTAGCCAACTGTGTTAGTCGGAGGTGCGGGGGAAGGACAACAAACGAATGCACATCCAAGGGGTCTGCAGCCCTGCGGCATGTGGCTCTTTCTAACGCCTGCTTCGTGGCATTATTCACATTGGATCGCGGCTCTTGAAATATTGAGGGTCAATATAACTTTTTTTTCCAGCAAAATGGAAAATAATGGGCCCTCTTGTTATTTTGGCTCCCGACCTCTGCCATAGACCGACCGTCGGGGTCGGCTAAGCCAGTTGTCTCGAGAGAAGACAAAGACGAGTTCTCGTACCAACTCGTCCCGCCAGAGAGAAGACTCGAGACTTTCAAATGCCGCCACTCTGTGTGGCTCTGACCCCGCCCGGAGGGTCAACGCGTGAACACCGCGGCGGCTGTCCACCTCAAGATAGCCGCTCCAACAAGACTCCAATCGCACGTTAAAACTAAACAACATTTTGTGTGTATTGTACCACAAGGCCGTAGCCATGGAGTCAACATTGGGGGGGACCAAATCTTCCAGGGGGTGTGGGGGTCCCCCCCCAGAAAAAAAATCTAAATTTGAAAACTAATTTCCTGCCATTTCCTGCCTAAAATATTTTTTAAAAATCACTAACTCAGGGTGGACTTTTTTTTAAATAATGTCTAATAGTGTATTGTATTACATTGCTCTGTTTATTTCCTTTTTACCTTTTCTTGTTTCATTGTATGTAATGGCAGAGATTAGGGATTAATAAAGTACAACCATAACCACAATCATATAAGCAGAAATCTATTTTATAGAAATATATTGGGGGGACATTTTGAGCATATCTGAATATTGGGGGAGATGTGTCCCCCCCAATATCTATTATAATTGCGGCCTTGGTGTACCAGGTAAAGTCCACTGGGCTATGCATCTCTTTTTTAGAAGCGACACTGGCTATCGCAAATGATAGCTCAACGAGTGCCTTATTATCGCGTGGAAATTCATAGCAGCCAATACTCTAAACGCGTGACGTTGTTTCTAAATGTGGAGGGGAAAACCCGGAGGATCCGGAGAAAAATCCACGCGACCACGGGGAGAAAGAGAGAGAGAGACACCTCAAATTCCAAATATACAGCAGCAGGCGTCAGGGTCGGGATCGAACCCACGGCCTCCTCCATAGCAGGCGAGGTTTAGGGCTGACCCCGGCTCGCTGGCGGCAACTCGAGGCGGATGATGCGGGCCGAACTCACTCGTGGGCTCACACCGCCCGGACACACTTCCACCAGGCTCAGAGCCGCCACAGTCGGGGACGGATCTTTGTTTCGTCGCGAAACGCTTCCCGAATTAAATTAAATGTAATATAATTCACCGCTCACCCCGGCACACACAGGGGGACAGTTAATGGTTTAACAAGTGCCCGCACCACCGCATCTCTCCTTCACGAAGGGACGCTGCAGGGGTAGACCGCACGCAGATTACACCACCATCATCACCTCTGACTAGCACGCGTGCCGGCTACGTACGGCGCGAAAAAAGGTGGAACAGGCAGACGTGCACCATCGGGGGTGGAATACGGGCCGGTCTGGCAGTCGCCGATACTCAACGCTGGGCCAAGGGGCAAGAGAATAACCCCGGAGGGTGAGTGGGACGTGGATTAGCATCATCGCGATCACATCAGGGATTGAAGAGGGGTGGGGGGGGGGGCTTTGGGACCCCCCTAGCGTTGCTCACCTGAGTCGGGGGGGGGGGGTGGTCCGGTGGGGTTGAAGGTGGAGAGGCAGGAAAGGTTGAAGGGGAAATGCGGGGCATTTGGGGCATTTGGGGCATTTGGGGCATTTCTCAGGCGACTCTGTGTTACGGGGGGTTTGTTGTTTGTCCGATAAACACCCCCACAACGAACAACCACGCGCGTATCCTAGAGAGCAAGACCGTAATTATTATAGATATTGGGGGGGGGCACATTCCCCCCACACACCCCCCCCAATATTCAAATATGCTCAAAATGCCCCCCCCCCCCCCATATATTGCTATAAAATAGATTTCTGTTTCTATGATTGTGGTTATGGTTGTACTTTATTAACCCCTAATCTCTGCCATTACAAACAATGAAACAAGAAAAGGTAAAAAAGAAAAAAAACAGAGCAATGTGATAAAATACACTATTAGACATTATTGTAATAAATAAATAAAATGTCCATCCTAGGTGTTAGTAAAATTTTTTTATATATGTTAGGCAGGAAATGGCAGGAAATTCGTTTTCAAATTTAGATTATTTTTTTCTGGGGGTAGACACCCAGACCCCCTGGAATAGTTGGTCCCCCCCAATGTTGAGTCCATGGCTACGGCCTTGCCAGAGAGCGTGTTCGCGTCTTGTCTTCGTACGCCAGGGTGGACGTGCTCTCCGAATTGGGTGGCCCGAGTTGGCTTCCTGCTCACGGTCGGCATCGGTGACATGTGTGTGGCCTGATCGTGTGCCTCCCCGTGGCCGATTCGGCCGTAAATGAGAACTGCTTCTCGTGCGTTGTGTAAACATCCACGTTGGAGAGACAAAGGCGGACGGGCGTGGTACTAGCCACCCACTGCCTCGTGTGCTGGCCTTGACAAGTGCCGTCTAACAGCACTTGCCCTAAGTCTGTTAACAGCAATACGGTTGACCTTTTCCCTTGCATTTGTATGTGCTTGAGAGAGTGTATGTACACGTGTATGTTTGTTTTAGAGTGCTCGAGTGTAGTTTGTTGTTGTTGTTGAGTGTATGTAAGTTTATGTATGATAGTGAGAGAAAGCGTGTGTTTGTGTAAGAGAGAGAGTGAGTGTATGTGTGCGGTGTGTTTCCCGGCTTCCACAGGGGCTCGCTAACAGCACAAAGCACTTGCCTACCAAGAGCGCACGTCGGCTGCGCAGCGGGGTGCCTTTATCTGTAGCATTGTGTGAGCGAGCGAGCGAGCGAGAGAGCGGACGCCGCGTGTGAGTGAGTGAGTGCTTGTGAACAGGATGCCAACCCACGTGCCTCTCGCCGGCGCAGCACAGAGGATCCGTTCTGGCAGGAGGGGCGGAACGGACTTCTGACACGGACTTGTGTGTTGCTGCTGCTGATGCTGCTGATGATGCCGATGATGATGATGCGTGTTTATTGTTCGGAGGCATTGCTGGGCAGTCAATAAGCACTTGCAAGAACAAGCAACATGTTATGTAAGTCATTGTACCATATGTTCGCGTCGAATGCGCGTTCAGCTTGACACACACACACACGCGTGTTCTGTGTAAACTTCGACATCCGTGTACGTCTCGCACAGTCCGCGCTGCGTTGTTGTTCGTCGCCACGATCGCAGTGCAGCCACGGCTCCACACCCAGCCGCTGTCATCCCTCCACGACCCTGCGATGTCGTTCACAATGTTTTGGTCGTCGCGACTCCGTCGTCACGACGTGGCCGCCGCTGGCCCCACGTCCTACCCCCCCCCCCCCCCCCCTTAGCCGGGACGTGTCCTGCCCGAGCCCCCACGCCCCACGCCGCCTTCTCTTTCGCGGACAGAATTGCGCCTCCCAACAGCTGCGCGGTGTTCTCCGGCAAGCCACGCGCTCGGTTTCCTCCTCGCTCTTTCTGCCCAAGTCCCAAGGATGCGTCTCGACCCCGCGATTCTTTGTTGCACTTTCCAGTCCGTGACCGCGTTGCACTTGATGTGTTCACGTGCCCTGCCCGTGTACACAAAAAAGACAAAGACGCAGCGCTGCAATTGCTCGCTCACGACACTGCCGGTGGAAGAGCCTCTTGCTCCAAGCGAACCTTCGAGACGGCGTTTGGCCGACTTGTTCCACGTGCGTTGCTCAGACATGTCGCAGGCGGTGGCAGTACCCACACTTCACCCCACCAAACGCGTCCTTTCTCATCGACGAACTGGAGTAGTTACCGATGTTTACTTCTGGGTGGACAGAGGAGGCGGCGGTGTTTGTGGGTGATTCGAGGGACCTGCATTGTTCGAAGAGAGACAGAATTGGCCCGGAGATGACACCTGTGAATTGTCCATTGTGCCGACCATTAAGACCGCGACAGCTCCCTGCTGGAGATGAACGTCTGCCTGGATGCGGTGTAGGAGGGACACGTGGATGAGAGAACGTACGCAGGATATTTATTATTTATTATTACGACGACGCTTGTTTACCCAGGAAAGCCTCAACGAGTCTTGGTGACATCATCGGACAATTAAGTGGGGCCATGGGGTAGGGCAGGGCACGTCACGGCTCGCAGGCATCATTGCCGATCCGTCAAGTTTAATGACGGAACGACGACAGCCACGGATGGCAGCGGAACGCGTCCTGGGAGTTCCGACCACCACGGAGGAGATGGAGCAACGAGATCAGAGGATCGCGAGATATTGCGGCGGATTGGGAGTGGCCTTCATCCAGCAGTGGATTGATCATGGCTCACGATGTGTGATACCAATACGGAGATTGTAAACTTTATGGATGATGCATGTGGAATATGTTCTGATATAGTACCTGCCCTATACTGATTTACACGATATCAGTGGACAAGAAGTCCCCCAGATAAGAACATCCGACTTACGAACACCCGCACTTACGAACGAACCGCCATAAGATGCAACTATTTTTAGCCATCCGATTTGCGAACGCTCGGTCGTACTTACGAACCGACCCGGGGAACTGGTTTGTTCGGCAGAGAATCCCGCTGGGAGTGTGTGCAAGTGATTGCGTGTGGGGAGCGCTGGTGTAGTGGTTAGCGCGCTGCGCTATGAACCCGGCGACCCGTGTTCGTTTCCCACTCACTAACACCGGTGATCATTATCTGAACCGGTCCTGAATTTCCCCTAGGTCGACTCAGCATCAAATAGGTACCTGGTGTGCCGTGCTGTCCTTCATAGGGGCTCACTCACATCACTTTCCTCGACAGTCTTATTAATGGCTATATGGGGGATTTTGGCCTTGTGTGCGCTCACGTGCGCGTGTGCGTGGGAAATTGTGGAGACTCATTAATCCCCTTTCGACAAGCAAGCCAGCATCAGGACTCAAGGAAAGTGAAAGTAAAACCTTGTTTTTCATGTTACTTTAGGCTTATGTTTTATTTACTATACAGTATTTATTACAGTATCATGTGCAATTGTCCAATATTTCTTATTTATGAGTTTAACAATGCTTCTCTTTTTTGTTGAACCGTAACATATTTTAGAACACTGACCCATGTACAATCAAATATTGAGTTTCGAGATTAGAACAACTCGACTTACGAACGGGTCTCATTAATGTAACCCGTTCATAAGTATATCGTCCGCGATATTTATATTTATGTAGCATGATCAATTGTAAAAAAGGATATCTCAGGATACTTTAAAGCAAAAATTTACTTCCAAAGTATCGTTGAATAATCACGAAAATAAAAATGTACAGCCTGATGTCAATCCACTGCTGGATTAAGGCATCCACAAGCTGCCAGTCTTGGTTGTTGTTTGATCATACTTCACCACCTTAGTCAGTGGAACTCTCGGACAGTGTTGACATCTTAAATCCTCTCCGTTTAACAACTTTTGGTCTAATTAGGGCTTCATACTCTTAGTTAAGCTTCAAATCTAGAACTAATTAGGGTTGTTCCCCTTTGGCTATGAATCAGTCACCCTGCTGTTACAGTTCTTTAACAGCCGTCTCCTTTTCATTCCCGGGGGCTTAAAACTTTTTTTTATGTATATATAAAGGCCCCTCCTTATGAGTGCATATTGATATTGTTGTTGGTGTTATTAGTATTAAAACCCCGAAGCCATGTATCGGAGGGCTGCGTGACACACCCTGCGCATCAGCGCATCTCGGCGTCCGTGCGTTTCGCTGGCAGCCCTGCCGCTCGGTGCGGACGATCCGGAGTTCCGTTTCACAAGAACACATCCCGTGTTGTGCAAAGCTCCCGTTCAGCTCGCCGGGATTTTATCACGAAAACAGCCAGCCACACTACTAGGCTCACTTAGGTCATCACCCATTTTCAGCTTATTAAAACAATTTTCACGCATTTGAATTATCGAGCGAGATGCTTATTGCGGTAAAAAAAATATTTTGGACAATGACATTCAGAAACCCACGGGTTTATCCAATGCTGAGTCACATGGCCTCGTGAGCCTGCAATGCCACACTCCGTCTCACTCCTGCGCGCAAACGTATTTCATCGCTATTCCACACATGTACGTATAATACACCCACTCACTGTACGCGAGACGGTGGGTCTCTATGCGAGTCTATGGGTCTCTCAGCAAGTCTAGGGGTCTCAGTGAGTCAAAAGTCTATAGGTTTCTAAATAACGTAATGGGTCTCTGAGTATATGGTTTTCTATTTAGTTTATGGGTCTCTAAGTGAGTACGTGGGTGTCTGTTTTAGTCTATGGGTCTCTATGTAAGTTCATGGGTCTCTATGAGAGTTGTAAGTCTATGGGTCACTATGCGGATCTATGGATCTCCGTGCCAGTAATTGACAACCGGGCTGAGGTCATCAACCTCGCTACATTTGAGAGTCCAGTTTAACCAGAGTCATCTTGAACCTGGATTCGAACCCAGAACCTCAGCAGTGCTGGCTCAGCGATCTGACACCCCGAGCCACTCAGCCACCTCGGTTACCACTTTGTGTGTTTGAAATCTGGCCTACAGTGGGAAACCCGACTGGATATTTGGTCGAATGACAATTCTGTATACGAATTAGCAATACCACATTGCAGGCATCATTGCTATTTACTACTATATACTATTTTATTTTTTACCAGGTAAGGCCCACTGAGCTATCGAGCTTTTTTTCGGAAGTGATCTGGCCACAAATGATAGCACAACGAAGTGGCTTATCATCATGCGGAAATTTATTGCAGCCAGATACTCTGAACGCGTGTTTGTACATGTGGAGGAAAAACCCAGAGGACCCGGAGAAAAATCCACGCGACCACAGGGAGAACATGCAAACTCCAAATATACAGGGTCACGATCGAACCCACGACCTCCTGCATACCAAGCGAGGTAGTTAACATCTCGCCACCGTGGCGCCCTCTGTGTAACTCCAGGTATGCATATCTCAATATCTCAATATGCATACCTGGCATTGTAGAGACATAAAGAGGAACGCGTGGATGAGAGAGCATACGCAGGTTCGGGATGCAATTCAACCTGCTTCGAAATGTGGGTGTGCTGGACGCGCCACTAAAAGAGATGATGGTCGGTGGTCAGAACAAGGACAGAGTGAAGGAGTTGGGTGATTATATCGAAGCACCATGGGGGGGGGGGGGGTAGCGGTTGCCTGGGGGAGGACCTTCCGCAGTAGATTGACTGGCCGAAGTTTGGTGACGACCCCTAATGGATATGTAGTCTTCTTCTTCTAGCGAATGGCAATGAGGTGCAAGTTATACGGCCAGGTTTACGTTTGTGAGCCGGGCGATAATAGCTGCGGGAACAGCGACACGAACTCGGTCCGCCGGAGGAGCGGGCGCACGACGCAGCTGTTGGCGACGTGGTCCACTTTGATTCTGGTGGCCGCAGTTCCTGCACTGTGTGAGGAGGAGGAGGAGGAGGGGGGGATCATCTTTAATGTCCCACTCGTTGAAGAGGCGTGCGCAGTGACCGGTCGCTGTCGTGAAGTGCGGCGGATCGAGAGCCGCCGTGCGAAAGCAGCGCAGCAGCGGCCCTCCGTGCGGATTTTACTCGGAAGCTGCGATTTTTAGTAGATGTCCAAAAATACGAATGACCGGTAACTAATGCGGCCGGCGCACACGCACACACACAAGTCACACGCACACACACAAGACGCGCGCGCGCGCACACAGAGACGCGGAGAGCGCTGTCCGTGCGTGATGCAGTCTGCTTGTGTTGGGGGCGCGCGGAGGCGAAGCGGAGCCCGGCTCGTGCGGCTGTCCTTACAAAGGCAACACTCGCGGCACTCATCAATGAATCATCACGCGGCGGCAACCAGCGTCACGGAGCACCCGGGCGCTCGTCGAGCAGGGGACCTCGAACGCACTCGACTGGCGGTGCGCGAACTGTGTTTGTAAGCAGCGCATATGGGGCGTCTGCAGAGTGCGTGTGTGTGTGCGTGTGTGTGTGCGTGTGTGTAGGGAGCGGTGGCGCAGTGGTTAGTGCACTGCGCTGTGAAACCAGTGACTCGGGTTGAATTGCCGCTCGCGGTCAACACAAGTGGCGGTTATCTGAACCGGTCCTGCGCT